GCTCCGCCTATAACTGCAGTTAATATTGTTGTTTTTTTTCTGCCAAACCTAAATGTAAACAAATAATATAAAAAAACAAATTTTTAATTTAAAATATTTAAACATTATGCAAAAATAATAGTAAAATAAATAAAAACATTGAATAAAACTAATTTTAATCGCTTCACAATAAGTACAGTTAAAAATGAAAAACAGCTAAACTTATTTCTATAAAACTTACTTAATATTTATATATTTAGTTATTCAAAAAACATAAGAGTTTAACGAATAGAAATAACACCTGTTACAAAGCCAACAAACAATGAAATTTGATGGAATATCAACAATACTGATCAAAACAAAATCTCTGTACATATTGTTGCTGAGATTTTCTGATATCAGTGATATTCCATAGTATGCAACTGCATTACCAAACCTTAGAGAGCAAAATTGATTTATGCTTGTAAATAATTGTATAAAATATATAATAAAAATTTAACACTTATAACAAAAGTAATAAAAGAAAAAGTAACGGAAAAGAAAAAAAATATAAAAGCAAAGGAATTACTATATTATAGCAAACAAAAACTAGATAACACCATAAAAAATTGCATTCTATTATTCCTCCCTTAAAAAGGGAAAATGAACACAAAAGTTATGCAAAGCTAACATACCAAAGAAAAAATTGCATGCTTGTTGACAAAAACACTTTTAATGGATAAAATACATAAATGTATGAAGTCTTTTTCTGCTTTGAATTTTCAGAAATTGCTGATAAACATGCATTTGGCCATGGTTTTTTGTTACATTTTGCAATCTGTTTGAGAACTTTCTCTGCTAAACTTATTTGATTCTTTACACGAAGCCATCTTGCAGATTCAGGCATAAAACTAAAATAAAAAGAACTAAATGCAATGGCTTGCAAAACTTAACTTAAAAACAAATACCTAACAAACTTTACTTAAATTTTTTCCTGCTAAACTTTTAATTTAAAATAGTGATTTTGAACTAAACATATTACCAAAACATAGACATTATAATAAAACATAGACATGTGTTTATCAATCTATCAATCACATTTATTGACAGGTCTAAAATAATACAGATACAGTGGGGCATTTCCATTTCTGTGCACAATATTTTTTTTCTTTATTTTTAGAATTAGAATCTGCTACTTAAAGCAATATATATTCTATTATGATTAACTTGAAGAACAATTATAACAAAAATATTTTTATCATACTTCAAGTTACCTGTTTAAAAATGTCTGTTTCAGTTGTTTCTCCTTAAAAATATATATTAAATATAAGTTGTGGGGATATATTTCACTTGAAATACTCACAAGAAATTTATTTTCATAAAAATAGTTACTGGAAGAGAAAAAATGAAGTTTATAGAGCAATATAACAATTGACAAATGACTTAAAATATTGCAATTTATATGAATTAGGAAAACAAGATGGAAGCGAATCCCAAAGAACTGATGATCAAGGAAAAAAACTAAACAAATAAGAATTTTTATAGCACTTAGGAACAGTCTCAGTAAAAGGATGAGACAATAGAATAATGAGTAACACAATAATGAATTTTAGTAGAATTTTAGTAACACCAAGTAAAAATTTTTTTAAGATTTTGGAGTCCTAATATCAGATTTTTTTAAAGAGTGAGTGTCCTCCAACCTACTAGCCAAGACACTGTATATAAATATGTATTTTCCAATAAAAAATATGTTTTCTTCACTCTTTAGTTTCCAACTCTTTAGGTGTTATTGTATATAGGGGTGTTGTTGTTATACATTAAATTTAGCTTATATTTATAAAAAAAAAAAAAAAAAAAAAACTCATTGCCCTCACGTTTAGGGTAGGGAGGGTTAAGATTTAAGGGTTTCTTGTTCCTATTCTCCTATCACAGTAACTTTTTTTGCCATAGATATGTCATGTCATACATATAAACATAAAAAATTTTTGAATATTCTTTTGTTTAAAAGCTGGTTATTTCAAATATTTAAAAACCTTCCTACGCCACTGTAAAGACAGTAATTTAAATAAAAACTGAACTCAATTCATTACTGTTTTTAAAATTTTAAAACTACTGTTTTTAAAAAAATTAACATTATAAAAAAGTATTCATAAAAAACTAAAGAACTCTGCTTTAGTTAAATAAGTATAGTTGCATATTATAGATAAACATATATGGCTACCTGTAAGTTCCTACAAGAATTAAATAAGGTGCACTGAGTAAGATTAACAAGATGCGCCATTTTGGTACAAGCCATGATTGTAACGCCATTAAACACATTCCAACAGTGTATGCACACCATAGCACATTTGAATAGCTTCTGTAAGTTAAGCCCACGGACTCTGTCATTAAAACCCATAATGTCAAATAAATACCTCCTTGCAAAATACCAATGATAATACGTAAGGCAAAAAAAATCCAAAATGTTTGAATAAAAGCAATGAGAAAAGAGATCACAATAAATAATACAAATGTGGGATAAAGTATTTTTTTCCGTCCATATCTAAAACAAATTTAATAATTGCAGTACCAATGATAATAATACTATAAATCACTTAGCTAGAGACAGTAACAAACAGTTAAAAATTGATGAAAAGTAACAACAAACAATATAAAAAAAACAACTATATTACCCAGAACTATAAGACAAAAAATATAAATAACGATAACAATTGTAATAATATTAATTATAATAGCAACAAAAGTAAAAACATATTATATATATATATATATATATATATATATATATATATATATATATATATATATATATATATATATATATATATATATATATATATATATGAATATATATATATATATATATATATATATATATATATATATATATATATATATATATATATATATATATATATATATATATATATATATAATATGTTTTTACTTTTGTTGTACAATAATAACAATAATAATAATAATAACAATAACAAAAATAATAATAATTTAGAAATAGCAATGATCATGAACAGATTTCTAACAGTTAAAATCTAACAGAGACTAAAAGCCAAGTTACTTTTATGTTTAGAAAAGAAAATGACTGATATCAATTAATTGGGATTAATCAAACTGGATTTCTTTGATCAAATATTGATCAAATAGTCCAAATCTTCAAACAAACTGAATCTTGTCTCTATATGGCAGTGGCTATGCAAATCTTTTTTTTAATATCAGAACAGCTCTAGTTTAACTAGTTTTATTCTCAGTTAAATTAATGTGAGGACTGCTGGAAGTAAAGTTTCTCGAAGTCTGTTGTAGTCTTTGAGACTGAATTCATTGACAGCCAAAAAATAAGAGTAGTAACAGTGCGTTTACCAGAACTCAAAATGCAATTAAAAAAAAATTTAACAGAAACTCTTGGTAAAACATTTTTTGTAATAATAATGATTTTTATGAACTTCTTCATAGCTCTTCAAAAAGATTTATTCAGTAATATTTGAGGGGACCTAAGGTGTCTAGACACCTTAGGGGACCTAAGGTGTCTAGACACCTTAGTGTCTAGACACCTAAGGTGTCTAGGACACCTTAGGTCCTAAGGTGTCTAGACACCTTAGGTCCCCTCAAATATTACTGAATAAATCTTTTTGAAGAGCTATGAAGAAGTTCATAAAAATCATTATTATTACAAAAAATGTTTTACCAAGAGTTTCTGTTAAATTTTTTTTTAATTGCATTTTGAGTTCTGGTAAACGCACTGTTACTACTCTTTTATTTTTTGGCTGTCAATGAATTTAGACGTCAATGAATTGATGAAATAGATGTCAATGAATTTAGACGTCCTAATTTAGACGTCTAAATTAGGGTGTTATACATTATCTAGTCAAGCTCTCCATTGATTTGAAACATAAATTAAGAACTAAATACATATACTTAAGGTCTTTAAGTAATTTGCAAAATTCACCAAAACTACTTGCTTTTAGTAAGACTAATTTTTATTTGGATGTGTCATCTTTGGAGCCTAGTGTTGATGGCTGTTATTCTTTAATTAGCAAAGACTGTAGTAGTTACGGCGGACTTTAAAACGGCACACCCCAAACTCGGTAAACAACGAAAATTTTCGTTACAAAAATTAAAAGCCATTTTTCATTGGCTAATAAATTTAATTAGACCTTAGCACGTTTTCAAATTTTCTAGTTTACTTCAGTACGCGACAACTTTAAGCAAGATGACTGCTCTTGCTGAATTCATTGAAAACTTTAAAGTAGATAGGCTGATTAATATTCTCCATCAAAACATTTTCGTAAATCTTGTATCTGTGGTCAGCAAATAACAGTTCAAAGATTTTAGCGGTGTCAAGTAAGTAATGTAAATATCATATTTAATCATATCATATCATGTTTTATGGAGTTATATCATAAATATCTTATTTAATCGTATCATAATCACTCATATCATATTTAATACAAGCGAAGTTTAATCAGATATGTATTTAAAATGTAAGTAAGCTAGAGTTTTATCTAAGTTATTATTTTCTTTTATAAGGATTAAATTACTTTATAAAATCTAATTCTCTTAAACTGGATTTTGCTTAATCTTTTTCTGATACTTTTTTTTTTTTTTTTTTTTTAAGGATAAACACATTTGGCGATGTAACAGCTGTAAGAAGACAAAGACTATTCGAAGTGGATTTTTTAAATGTTCAACATCGTACTGATGACGAGAAGATACACATACTGATAATGAGAAGAATATACATGGAGGAAAACAATGAGATTAAGAAAAAAAGACAACGTGAAAAGATAAATTTAAAAAAACTCCGTTGGAAAAATTTAACATTAGTTTAAAGTTAACAATCTAGTGAAGATTTCGGATAAGAAAAATTTAATGAAAGAAAAGTAAACTGAAGAGCATCAGATTATTTATTTTAAAAAGCAATAATATATTGTATGTGAGCCCTTGCTCCTTATCTCTTAACCAACAATTTTAATGCTCATTACACTGAACATGCTGGCCACTTAATCAAATTCAAAATTTTTGTCATTCTCGATCTCTCACACATTTAGTACCTAAATTTTGTTTTTCTAAACAGTTTGGGAAAAAGGGTGAAGAAAAACTATTATTATTTAAAAATTTATTGCTCAATGTTATTTAGTTATAGTTTATTTTTCATTGAGTGGTATATATTTGTGCGTTATTTCCCCTTGGAGTCATTTCGAAAAGTTGCAAAAAAATTTTTTATAAAGAAGTTCAAAAGTTTTTATTTTTTGTTATTAAATGTTAAGTTGACTCGATTTAAACAATTTTCAGTAAGTTTAGTTACTTTTTTTTTATTTCTTTAATAATTTTATGAATGTGTTTTGAGAACTTTGTTAAATTTTTTTTTTTTTAAATTGTAGAAATAATTTTATCTTAAAAAATATTCTGTCTCACGTCACATAAAATTTCAAATTCGAGAAAAAGGTTGTCTGGTTATGAGTACAGAAAAAGAAAGTCCGTTAAAGATCAAAAATTTGAAAAAATTAAGAAACTCATGAGCATTGAAAAATATGTTGCTTATAAAAAACCTGACGGAGGTCGTGAAGATTTTAACCCTGATGCTTCAACTATCTCTACGACTATGTCCAATAAAATTGGAGAACCTTCAATAATACTCAAAAATAGTTGTATAACTTCATTGCAAATTGAAGTAGATAATGAACCAGTTATTTTAAAAGAATCGAATGATTTATCGGAAGATTTTTTACAAGAAACACCTAATTTATTGGATTGTGGAAATAGGCCAATTGTTCGATCTAGCAACTTTGTGGACCATTTAATCAAACTTGGTCCTTTTCAAATTACAAAGGAAAAATACCCTGAAGATAGAAATGGTCGACGTTTTTCTAGCATTTATTACAATAGAAAGCTTGCGAATGGAGAAACCTTTTGCCGTAGATGGTTGGTTTATTCAGATTCTAAAAACTCCGTATTTTGTTTTTGCTGTCTACTTTTTGATAATAATTCAAAGCCAAACTTAGTCTCTGATGGTTTCAAGAAATGGAGACATTTAACTGAAACATTGGGAATTCATGAAAACAGCGTCTCTCATATGAAATGTTATCAACAGTGGGTAGAAACTGAAATAAGATTAAAAACTGGAAAAACTATAGATAATGAAGAAATTAAAACTATAGAAAAAGACAGTTTGCGATGGCAAAATTTTCTTCTTTGGCTGATGAATATCACTCTTTACCTAGCTGAAAATAATATGGCTTTTCGAGGGAGTTCGGATAAACTGTTTACGCCTCAAAACGCCAAATTTTTAGGACTAATACAGATGCTTGCAAAATTTGATCCTGTGATGTAAAAGCATTTAGCACTTGCAATAAAAGGTGACACTTCAGACCATTATTGCGGGAAAAATATTAAAAATGAGTTAATAGATTTAATGTCTCAAAAGGTTAACGATGAAATAATAAACCGAGTCTTGAAAGCCGTTTACTATTCAATCATTGCTGATTGTACACCTGATATTTCTAGAAAAGAACAACTTTCTCTTACTATTCGAATTGTTGACTTGTCATTAGACATTAGAGTGGAAATTAAAGAGTACTTTTTAGGATTCTTTTCTGTTTCTGATTCTACTGGCTTAGGACTTACTGAGGTTTTAATCGAGTTCCTAACTAAGCATGAACTTGAAATCTCTAACTGCAGAGGTCAAGGGTATGATAATGGATCAAATATGAAAGGAAAGATTAATGGTGTACAAAAAAGGATTTTAAATCTTAATCCTTTAGCATTATATGTTCCTTGCGGCAACCATAGCTTAAATTTGGTAATAAGTGACTCTGCACGGTCTTCAGTAAAATCTATAGCTTTTTTCGGTATTCTTCAGAGATTGTTTACTCTATTCTCAGCTTCAGTGAGCCGATGGAAAATTTTAATTGATCATGTTAAAATTTTGCATTTAAAGAAACTCTGTGACACGCGGTGGGAAGCAAAAATAAGTAGTGTTAAAGCCGTTCGTTATCAAGTTGGTGATATACATGACGCTTTGATAGCATTGTCAGAAATTGAAGGATGTAATCCTGAAACTGCACATGAAGCGATAACTCTAGGAGAGCAATTAAAAGATTTTAGCTTTCTTGTCTCTTTAATTGTCTGGTATGATGTTCTTTTTCAAGTCAGTATTGTTAGTAAAACTCTTCAAGAAAAAGACATGGACATCACTCAATGTGCAAAGTTATTGAAAAGCTGTTGTTCATTTTTAGAAAACAATAGAAAATGTGGTTTTAAAGATGCAATTATAAAAGCAAAGGATTTGTCTATAGAATTACAAGTGGAGCCTGTTTTTAAACCACTTAAAAGAATAATACGAGTGAAACGCCATTTTGACGATCCAGCCCAAGATGGGATTTATTTATTTTCTCCTGAAAAAAAAATTAGTAATCGATTTCTTCAATCCTCTTTTAGACACATCTTTAATTTCAATGAGAGAAAGATTTATACAGTTGGAGAATTATTCCGAAGTTTGGGGTTTTTAGTATAATGTCGATAGTTTGC